TGAATTCCCATTTGCAGCAGATCGACAACATACCACAGATACACAAAGGAACAGGCACAAAGTGCGAGGCAACAAATACGTGCTCTTTCAACTGTATATGAACCAACTAAACATTAGGATCTTATTCTGTTGTATATGCTGAACAAGAAGGTTGACAGCCATACTCGCATGGCATGGCATGGAATTTGTCCAGGAATGGAAAGTTCTTCTAACGGTAAATCAATTTTTTTCCTTTCTGGAGCTGCGGGTTTGTGCCTTAGAGAACTCATTCAAATTAGAAAGTAGACCCATTCAGGAAAATTCTAAAATGGTTCATGTTAGTACAGTGAAAAGAGTAGTATCTCCGTGTTGTTGTTGTAAGGGAAGTCATCCATTGTACAAATGTTCCAAGTTTAAGGAGTTGGAGATTTCAGGGCGCAAGGATCTGGTGTTAAAGCATTCACTGTGCACTTGTTGTTTACTTCCTGAACATGATGCTAAGAGGTGTAGTTTTAAAGGTGCTTGCTATAGATGTAAAGAGCCCCACAACACTTTAATTCATGATGAAATAGTTCTTCGTCACCATCAACTAGCCAACTCAATTCTGGCAACAATATTCTTTTAGCTAAGCACAATAACATAAAAACTTTTTTTTCCACAGTCTCTCGATATGAATGAATTTGATAGTTACATATCTATTATTAGTATTATACTATTTTGCAGATTTTACCTGAAGCCAAGTACATTGAATTGTTACGCATTTGTATTTAGAAGACTATTGGAATCCTGAGAAGCGTATCAGAAATTTGAAGTTAAGGTAATTATACTATTATTTTGTTGTATGGTTTCATTTGGTTGTAGTTAATAAAATCATATAGATCTTAAAAATATTACACTTATTTCACAAATTTTGTAAATATGTATTAGTTAAAGAAATTGGGATTGATTTGATTATTGTTTTACATTATATTTAGTACATTTATTCACTGAACAACCTGTGTCTCTTCAGCACATCAGGCTACTGGCAATTTATATGCATTTGGATTGAGTATTTGTGAATAAAAATTAATTTGATCTATTATATTGATTTATAATAATTATTATTTCTTTCAGATGTTTGTCCAATTGGCGTCATGTTAATACTTTAAACCTCTTTGGAGTCTTGCAAACTGATATTTGTTCAAATTTCAATTGCTGTAGTGTTTATTAGAAAATAGTATTATTACAATGTCAAAGTTTTGTGTGTGAAGTGATTTTTGTGATACATTCCAAGGAGTTTTTATTATCGGAGTATGGATGCTGACTTCCAGCTAATCAAGAATGATTGTAAGGCGCTGTGGTAAGTGATATTTATTTAAATGGCATGCTCATATATAATACGATCACACTAAATTCGCGGAAATATGATTGATTTCAAGCAGTGAAGCCAATAACACGTATTTATTTCAATTTAATCATGTTTACGCTATTGTCTTATAATGTTATTTATAGCTGATAACATTGGCATATTTCCATTACATGTAAATGATTCCTAATTTCTCTAAAAGTTTTCACACTTTTATTAAGTTAGTTTCATACAAATTAGTTTTCTTTTATGAATTTGTTAAGGAATTCGCGATTTAGCCTTTTATTTTGATGCTTTCTTGCAAATTGGTTTCTTTTATGAATTAGTTAAATGTTTTAAATATCTGTACGCCTTTTCTATTCATTCAGTATTTGTTTATTTCACAATAATATTACTGAGTAGTTATTAATTAAACAATAGACCCAATATTAGTATTTGCTTCGATTAAATTGTTTTCAAATTTTATATTAGAATATAAGAATTGTTCCGTTTAATTTTTTTTCATTAGCTTTGATTCTATTCATATGTGCAACTAATTTTTTCATTGTGAAATTTAAAAATATTTGAGAATATGGAGAAAGAAGAAACTTTTGGCAGTATTCTGAATGATATGATTAGATTTTATTGTATATCATGTTTGAAAAGCAATTCAATGCAAACACGTGGTGTAGTTTCAGACCTCGAGGAAAGTTAAAACATTTGGAATCCGATGACAAATTTGAATCACTAGAAAAATCAATTTATTTATTTTCACAACATATCTGCTTGTTGCCAATATGGAGATTAGAGACTGTGTACAATAATTTTGCTATAAATGCGAAAATTACAAAAGTTATGATGCAACTTAAAGAAATTAAACTATTTTTATCATTTATTTTTTTCAAATTTCATAAATCAATAAATTTTTTTACATATGACGAGCTTTTGTGCTTATCGTGCAAGATGTAATTGCTTATTGAAATTAAAAATACATTATGAATTCTTTATTTGCACAATTGAGTAGAGTTTATAATATCAATTTTGAATATTGAAGAATCAAATACAAATTGCAATTTCATAACTTCATATTCGTTTGTTTATACATATTTGAAATGACGAACCAAAATTAATTTGTAAATTTATTTTCATTTAATTTTGTTTCATTCAATAGTGGTAATAATGTACCTTGTCTGTTTAAATTCATTACATACTTAGCAAATTTGTCACTTTAAAAATGAATGTGAGTAACATACATTAATCCTACACGATTATTTTTAAACAGTTGTAAAGCAACTCGATTTACTTCAAAATGAATATTAAATATGCAATTGATTTATGCTCACAATGCATTTTTACTAAAACATAATTTTTACATATGAACTTTTTGCATTAATATAAATAATGTCAATTATTTCAATAAGATATATTTTGTGAAATCTGTACAAAATTGAACAATGTACAACAATTTCGAAGAGCCAGATTTATATAGATGAAATTGATATTGTTATTGCAATACACTTGAACACATTTTTTAAGTGCTACAAAATGTATCATCTTTATTGAAAGTTTAATAGCATTTGATAAATGTAATTAATGTGAATGAAAAACTAAAAACTGCAAGCCTACATTGAATGACGTGCACGTTGCATACAAATTTGATGAAATCATACAAGTTTTATAACTGTTTTAATATTTATGAATTTGTATCAAATAATGATATGAATTATTAAATATGAATGCAAACTCAGTCTACTGTTGAATCATATTTGAATTTCAAATCATAAAGTTTTGATAAAAATACAAATGAAAATTCTTTCATTGGCATTAGCAAAAGATTTTACTTTTTACTTGTATATTTTTCATTCATGCTTGATTTTATTTCTAGTGATTTTGATAATATTTAATAAATTAATTTTATTAACTGTTCAAAAAAAAAAAGCCAAAATGATCGATAGGCAAAAGACACCATCTATATATTATGATTTTGCAATTTTGAACTAGCAATTTATTTTTATATAATTTGTTCTACATTTTATATAATTAACAATTTAATTGAATAATGTCTGAAATTGAACAATTTCAAGCGAATAATATAAAATGTTCTATGTTGTTGGAATGTATGGTATTTGTGCTTATCGTGCAAGATGTAATTGCTTATTGAAATTAAAAATACATTATGAATTCTTTATTTGCACAATTGAGTAGAGTTTATAATATCAATTTTGAATATTGAAGAATCAAATACAAATTGCAATTTCATAACTTCATATTCGTTTGTTTATACATATTTGAAATGACGAACCAAAATTAATTTGTAAATTTATTTTCATTTAATTTTGTTTCATTCAATAGTGGTAATAATGTACCTTGTCTGTTTAAATTCATTACATACTTAGCAAATTTGTCACTTTAAAAATGAATGTGAGTAACATACATTAATCCTACACGATTATTTTTAAACAGTTGTAAACAGCAACTCGATTTACTTCAAAATGAATATTAAATATGCAATTGATTTATGCTCACAATGCATTTTTACTAAAACATAATTTTTACATATGAACTTTTTGCATTAATATAAATAATGTCAATTATTTCAATAAGATATATTTTGTGAAATCTGTACAAAATTGAACAATGTACAACAATTTCGAAGAGCCAGATTTATATAGATGAAATTGATATTGTTATTGCAATACACTTGAACACATTTTTTGAGTGCTACAAAATGTATCATCTTTATTGAAAGTTTAATAGCATTTGATAAATGTAATTAATGTGAATGAAAAACTAAAAACTGCAAGCCTACATTGAATGACGTGCACGTTGCATACAAATTTGATGAAATCATACAAGTTTTATAACTGTTTTAATATTTATGAATTTGTATCAAATAATGATATGAATTATTAAATATGAATGCAAACTCAGTCTACTGTTGAATCATATTTGAATTTCAAATCATAAAGTTTTGATAAAAATACAAATGAAAATTCTTTCATTGGCATTAGCAAAAGATTTTACTTTTTACTTGTATATTTTTCATTCATGCTTGATTTTATTTCTAGTGATTTTGATAATATTTAATAAATTAATTTTATTAACTGTTCAAAAAAAAAAGCCAAAATGATCGATAGGCAAAAGACACCATCTATATATTATGATTTTGCAATTTTGAACTAGCAATTTATTTTTATATAATTTGTTCTACATTTTATATAATTAACAATTTAATTGAATAATGCCTGAAATTGAACAATTTCAAGCGAATAATATAAAATGTTCTATGTTGTTGGAATGTATGGTACCTCTTATCAATATGCTAACAAACATTCATTTATCTTTATTCTTTGCTCATGAAAATCAAATTTAATTTCACTTGAAATTTTTAATTCATTGATTCTTGAAAAATTGAAAAGTGAGTTCCTAGACAATATACTGAGTGAGTTTGCCATTCAATTTGTTAGCTACAGTTATAATTGTAAAGTATATTTAGGTACATTGATTTTATTATATTACTAGCTGACAACATTCACTATTCTAACCTACAATATTCAAAGTAATATATTTTTATATGTGAATGGCAAACATTATCTCGTAAAAACTTTATAAGTTAAAAATTCAATGTTGTTGAATTTTCTTAATTTGTTTGAAATATTTACATTGAAAATTATTTTAGGTTTATATTAATTTGACAGTTTTCAATTTCTAGATTGAAGGAAATTGCAATCCACTGATATTTTTAAATAGATGACATTTACTCACATGTCTTACAGTTGATTTTTCTGCTAATACACACTAGAAGCAACATCATGATTTGAACAAATCGTCGTTTGCATTATGAATAATACATAAAAACTGTTTGGGAAATCTTTGAGATCGACATTGAAATGCTTGTTGTGGCAAATGATTCATAACAAAAATTTATTTAACTTGGAAATTCACAAGTGCCGGCGCTACCGCGCTTAACGATGTGGCATTATGGACTTGCCGACATACATATTGTGGGATAGATGCTCTGCAATTCCTACAGTGAATGAAACAATATGGACTTGCCGATATACATATTGTGGAACATGTGCATTCTTGAAAGAAATAACAAGGGTGATGCTCTAAAAATCGTACATTGAATCAAACAATGTGGACTTGTCGACATGCATATTGGGTAATATGTGCATTCCTGAAGAAAATAACGTGAAAAGCAATCGTGGGCCCTAACTGAAGAGAACCATTTCAAAGAATGGAACCAATGTATTCTTGCCGTAGGATTTCAAAGAGGCTGCTGCTTTTATTAAATTAGGTATGTTTAGCTCGAATATTTAAAATAATTCATGTACTCTACTCTTTAAATAACAATAGTTTAATGAATTTATTTTATTTCAGAAATAATCCTCACTCGAACAATACAATATACCTTTGGTGCATTTGGTGCAAATGGATTGGCTTGAATAACTAAACACGTCAAGACGAGAACTGTTGGAAGAAAACCAGGCAAATCAGAGGATGCATGATTTCAAATCCTAGAATTACTAGTAAATGGCTACCTAATTAAAGACTTTGAATCAAATATAGGTAAGTTATTGTTAAACTGCTTGATAATATTTAAAAATTTCATCAGTGATGAATTTATATTACAAATTTAATTTACTCGAGTATTGCAGTCAAATAATATAAATGATTTAAAAAATTTGCCGGTAATTTTTTATATAAATTTGAATAATTAATGTAATAATTTTTTTTTACAGAGAATACCGGCAATGCAAAACAAAGAATATTAGAAAAACATCATCAGCTATGAAATATGCTGCAGCTGGCTGCTACTGCAATTCTTGGTCAACTCTCAAAATGAATGGAAGGCTCTCGTGCTTCTTGATAGGTACAACAGTTAAATTCAATATTTTATTCAAAATAAAACAGTTTATATTTTTTTTATTATTATTATTATGAAGTTCTTAAATTCAATTTTCTTTTACAGTGAAGGTTTCGAAATAGACAATGGAATTTAGTAAAGATGGAAAGTGTTTGAACATCATCGTGCTCTGCCAAGGGCCTAATCAGGTTAGTAATTATAAAATAGTTATAATTACACACATGAGTATAAAAATTGACAACAAATTATAAGAAAAGAAAATACGAGTAATTTTTCATATAAATTGCAATGATATTTTTAAATAAAATATTGTTAATATTTAGTGTTTAAATGTAACTGTATACGTACAATTGTTATTGCAATTAAATCAACAAATGTTTATTTCTACATTTATTTCCAAGATTTTATTTCAAACTTAAATTTATTTATTAAGTTACTGAAATGATTGGTTTTTAATATAATCATTAGAAAATGCAAAATTAATGAACAATTAATTTATTTCAGGGAAGACAAATGAATTCGAAAATGACATTGTCTACGGCAGAGCTTTAGAAGCAACATTATCCCTGCATGGCAGCAATAGTGACCATAAGGTGTGTGATGAAATAATTTACAATTAATACTAATGAAATATTTTAGTATTTGGAAAGTAAAATATAGAAATTTTTTATTATAATTTGGCATTGCATATCATAAATGAATGGAAATTGTTCAGCAACTACTAAATTTTGAATATTTGAGATCTGAATGAATGATCAATCATAAATTTTGTAATCCTTGATGAAACAATGTTTTTGCCTCTAAGTATTATTTAATCTAAATATGAACTATTGAATTAAATGCAATTCATTTTATTTTTCAGTCATTTGCGATCACTATGCAAAGGCCAAGTGTATCAGGTCTTAATCGGGGATCTGTTTATTAAACTCTTTGCTGCCTGCAGCCTTTGTGTTGTCAATGAGGATAAAAGGTAATTAATAAAATGAAATAATTGAAATATACATACAAGAGATTTATTTTTTAAATGCTTGAATATTACTCTCAATTAAGTTTTAAGGTATTTAATTTAATGCAATAATTAAAAAATGTGAAAGAATTTGAATGCTTTTACACAAATGTTGAGTCAATAATACTTTTTTTTATTTGTTCAAGAAATTACGATTAAATAATGTTAAATTCATAGAGAGATTTTTCATGTGGTAATAAAATATACAAGTATAAAAATCTATAAACAAATTCGTAAAAGTAATACAAATTAATTGAAAGAGATCATTGTATTTAAAGTATGAAGTAAGATGTTGCATTATGGACTTGCCGACATACATATTGTGGAATATGTGCATTCTTGAAGGAAATAACAAGGATGCTCTGCAATTCCTACAGTGAATGAAACAATATGGACTTGCCGATATACATATTGTAGAACATGTGCATTCTTGAAAGAAATAACAAGGGTGATGCTCTACAAATCGTACGGTGAATCAAACAATGTGGACTTGTCGACATGCATATTGGGGAATATGTGCATTCCTGAAGAAAATAACGTGACAAGCAATCGTGGGCCCTAACTGAAGAGAACCATTTCAAAGAATGGAACCAATGTATTCTTACCGTAGGATTTCAAAGAGGCTGCTGCTTTTATTAAATTTGGTATGTTTAGCTCGAATATTTAAAATAATTCATGTACTCTACTCTTTAAATAACAATAGTTCAATGAATTTATTTTATTTCAGAAATAATCCTCACTCGAACAATACAATATACCTTTGGTGCATTTGGTGCAAATGGATTGGCTTGAATAACTAAACACGTCAAGACGAGAACTGTTGGAAGAAAACCAGGCAAATCAGAGGATGCATGATTTCAAATCCTAGAATTACTAGTAAATGGCTACCTAATCAAAGACTTTGAATCAAATATAGGTAAGTTATTGTTAAACTGCTTGATAATATTTAAAAATTTCATCAGTGATGAATTTATATTACAAATTTAATTTACTCGAGTATTGCAGTCAAATAATATAAATGATTTAAAAAATTTGTCGGTAATTTTTTATATAAATTTGAGTAATTAATGTAATAATTTTTTTTTACAGAGAATACCGGCAATGCAAAACAAAGAATATTAGAAAAACATCATTAGCTATGCAATATGCTGCAGCTGGCTGCTACTGCAATTCTTGGTCAACTCTCAAAATAAATGGAAGGCTCTCGTGCTTCTTGATAGGTACAACAATTAAATTCAATATTTTATTCAAAATAAAACAGTATATATTTTTTTATTATTATTATTATGAAGTTCTTAAATTCAATTTTCTTTTACAGTGAAGGTTTCGAAATAGACAATGGATGGAAGAGAAAAACCACATGAGTAGTACTACATATATGATACAAAATTTAATGCAATTTATTTTATATTCCAGTTGAAAGTGATGACAATACAGCCATGGACTTCACTGTTACGGTTTAATAGCACAATTGCAATGATGCAAATTCCTTGCAGTGAGTAATGCCTTCCAGATATACAGTTCACCTGCGCCTCTTTTTTAACCATTGGAAAAGGTATTTCATGGAATATAATATTTCAAATGTACTATTAAATAAGTTTGGTTGTCTGTTAAGAAGTTTTGAGCAAGCACTGTTTATTTTTCAATTTAAATAAATGCCTATTATTATTCAATCAATGAAGATTATCACAGATAAAATTTGATAAACTATTGATTCGAATAATTAAAAGTAGTAATATGTATTTGAATGTAGATAATCCCTGTGAATTACTGGTTTAAATAATTGCTAAAAGTTGTATTAATTTGACTGTAGATGACACTGTGAATTACCGGTTTGAATAAATGTTAAAAGTAGTGAAATCTATTGGTACATAGGTGGCGCTAGGATATTATTGGTTCGAATAAATGCTAAAAGTTGTAATTTTTAAATGTAGATAACGCCTCTAGAATTGCTGGTTCGAATAATTGCTAAAAGTTGTAATTATTTGAGTATAGATGGCGCGTGCGATTTACTGGTTTGAATAATTGCTAAAAGTTGTAATTACCTGAAACTAGATGGCGTCTGTAAATTACCGGTTCGAATAATTGTTAAAAATTTGTAATTATTTGAATGTAGATGGCGCTTGTGATTTACAGGTTCGAATAATTGCTAAAAGTTACAATTGTGAAGCTGTCTACTAAATTCCTGGAGCCATCTGTGAACGGATATGTCTTATTGATGCTGAAAGCAAGGCCCCCTAGATTTCTAGAAGGCCTTGCCACAAATATATATATTAGTGGGTTCCCGATCAAGGCAAGTTTTACTATAGAAATATTTTGATCAATAATTGTGTTTTTATTTTTTTTTTGCCCTGACCGGGACTTGAACCCGACACAGGTTTCTTTTGTCGAATTCAAGAGCTGAGCTGCTACCCACTGAGCTAATCTCAACCGAAACAAAATATATAATATATTAGTAGGTGAACCTGGTCTGGGACCCTCGTTGCGGAAGTGTTTTACGCTGGAAAGTGATGGTGTCTATGGGTGATATATATATATATATATATATATATATATATATATATATATATATATATATATATATATATATATATATATATATACATATAGCATACATATAGCATACATTATACCTGCTACATATTACACTGCTGCTTTATATGACATCTGGCACTAATATATATGAGCTTTCTTGCAATACTTTGGTATATTTTGCCTATCATTGCCTATACTTTATATGTTATTCACGCCTTTAAGTATTGCGTTTTTAAATAATATGTATGCAAATATACTTTCTTTAGCTTGCATTAATAGTTATAATTGTAATATGCAACAAACAATTCTTCTACTTATCTTTGGCATTTCGTACTTAAATCCCGTAGCACATCTACGACAATTTGCAATACATTATGCATTGCTTCGTAAACCCTCCGGCACATTTACGAAATTTTCAATCGTTTTGATAATTTTTGTACTAAGTGCTCAGTCGAGTAAATTTTTTTAGTATAACTTTTTTTGTACTAAGTGCTCAGTCGAGTAAATTTTTTTAGTATAACTTTTTTTGTACTAAGTGCTCAGTCGAGTAAATTTTTTTAGTATAACTTTTTTTGTACTAAGTGCTCAGTCGAGTAAATTTTTTTAGTATAACTTTTTTTGTACTAAGTGCTCAGTCGAGTAAATTTTTTTAGTATAACTTTTTTTGTACTAAGTGCTCAGTCGAGTAAATTTTTTTAGTATAACTTTTTTTGTACTAAGTGCTCAGTCGAGTAAATTTTTTTAGTATAACTTTTTTTGTACTAAGTGCTCAGTCGAGTAAATTTTTTTAGTATAACTTTTTTTGTACTAAGTGCTCAGTCGAGTAAATTTTTTTAGTATAACTTTTTTTGTACTAAGTGCTCAGTCGAGTAAATTTTTTTAGTATAACTTTTTTTGTACTAAGTGCTCAGTCGAGTAAATTTTTTTAGTATAACTTTTTTTGTACTAAGTGCTCAGTCGAGTAAATTTTTTTAGTATAACTTTTTTTGTACTAAGTGCTCAGTCGAGTAAATTTTTTTAGTATAACTTTTTTTGTACTAAGTGCTCAGTCGAGTAAATTTTTTTAGTATAACTTTTTTTGTACTAAGTGCTCAGTCGAGTAAATTTTTTTAGTATAACTTTTTTTGTACTAAGTGCTCAGTCGAGTAAATTTTTTTAGTATAACTTTTTTTGTACTAAGTGCTCAGTCGAGTAAATTTTTTTAGTATAACTTTTTTTGTACTAAGTGCTCAGTCGAGTAAATTTTTTTAGTATAACTTTTTTTGTACTAAGTGCTCAGTCGAGTAAATTTTTTTAGTATAACTTTTTTTGTACTAAGTGCTCAGTCGAGTAAATTTTTTTAGTATAACTTTTTTTGTACTAAGTGCTCAGTCGAGTAAATTTTTTTAGTATAACTTTTTTTGTACTAAGTGCTCAGTCGAGTAAATTTTTTTAGTATAACTTTTTTTGTACTAAGTGCTCAGTCGAGTAAATTTTTTTAGTATAACTTTTTTTGTACTAAGTGCTCAGTCGAGTAAATTTTTTTAGTATAACTTTTTTTGTACTAAGTGCTCAGTCGAGTAAATTTTTTTAGTATAACTTTTTTTGTACTAAGTGCTCAGTCGAGTAAATTTTTTTAGTATAACTTTTTTTGTACTAAGTGCTCAGTCGAGTAAATTTTTTTAGTATAACTTTTTTTGTACTAAGTGCTCAGTCGAGTAAATTTTTTTAGTATAACTTTTTTTGTACTAAGTGCTCAGTCGAGTAAATTTTTTTAGTATAACTTTTTTTGTACTAAGTGCTCAGTCGAGTAAATTTTTTTAGTATAACTTTTTTTGTACTAAGTGCTCAGTCGAGTAAATTTTTTTAGTATAACTTTTTTTGTACTAAGTGCTCAGTCGAGTAAATTTTTTTAGTATAACTTTTTTTGTACTAAGTGCTCAGTCGAGTAAATTTTTTTAGTATAACTTTTTTTGTACTAAGTGCTCAGTCGAGTAAATTTTTTTAGTATAACTTTTTTTGTACTAAGTGCTCAGTCGAGTAAATTTTTTTAGTATAACTTTTTTTGTACTAAGTGCTCAGTCGAGTAAATTTTTTTAGTATAACTTTTTTTGTACTAAGTGCTCAGTCGAGTAAATTTTTTTAGTATAACTTTTTTTGTACTAAGTGCTCAGTCGAGTAAATTTTTTTAGTATAACTTTTTTTGTACTAAGTGCTCAGTCGAGTAAATTTTTTTAGTATAACTTTTTTTGTACTAAGTGCTCAGTCGAGTAAATTTTTTTAGTATAACTTTTTTTGTACTAAGTGCTCAGTCGAGTAAATTTTTTTAGTATAACTTTTTTTGTACTAAGTGCTCAGTCGAGTAAATTTTTTTAGTATAACTTTTTTTGTACTAAGTGCTCAGTCGAGTAAATTTTTTTAGTATAACTTTTTTTGTACTAAGTGCTCAGTCGAGTAAATTTTTTTAGTATAACTTTTTTTGTACTAAGTGCTCAGTCGAGTAAATTTTTTTAGTATAACTTTTTTTGTACTAAGTGCTCAGTCGAGTAAATTTTTTTAGTATAACTTTTTTTGTACTAAGTGCTCAGTCGAGTAAATTTTTTTAGTATAACTTTTTTTGTACTAAGTGCTCAGTCGAGTAAATTTTTTTAGTATAACTTTTTTTGTACTAAGTGCTCAGTCGAGTAAATTTTTTTAGTATAACTTTTTTTGTACTAAGTGCTCAGTCGAGTAAATTTTTTTAGTATAACTTTTTTTGTACTAAGTGCTCAGTCGAGTAAATTTTTTTAGTATAACTTTTTTTGTACTAAGTGCTCAGTCGAGTAAATTTTTTTAGTATAACTTTTTTTGTACTAAGTGCTCAGTCGAGTAAATTTTTTTAGTATAACTTTTTTTGTACTAAGTGCTCAGTCGAGTAAATTTTTTTAGTATAACTTTTTTTGTACTAAGTGCTCAGTCGAGTAAATTTTTTTAGTATAACTTTTTTTGTACTAAGTGCTCAGTCGAGTAAATTTTTTTAGTATAACTTTTTTTGTACTAAGTGCTCAGTCGAGTAAATTTTTTTAGTATAACTTTTTTTGTACTAAGTGCTCAGTCGAGTAAATTTTTTTAGTATAACTTTTTTTGTACTAAGTGCTCAGTCGAGTAAATTTTTTTAGTATAACTTTTTTTGTACTAAGTGCTCAGTCGAGTAAATTTTTTTAGTATAACTTTTTTTGTACTAAGTGCTCAGTCGAGTAAATTTTTTTAGTATAACTTTTTTTGTACTAAGTGCTCAGTCGAGTAAATTTTTTTAGTATAACTTTTTTTGTACTAAGTGCTCAGTCGAGTAAATTTTTTTAGTATAACTTTTTTTGTACTAAGTGCTCAGTCGAGTAAATTTTTTTAGTATAACTTTTTTTGTACTAAGTGCTCAGTCGAGTAAATTTTTTTAGTATAACTTTTTTTGTACTAAGTGCTCAGTCGAGTAAATTTTTTTAGTATAACTTTTTTTGTACTAAGTGCTCAGTCGAGTAAATTTTTTTAGTATAACTTTTTTTGTACTAAGTGCTCAGTCGAGTAAATTTTTTTAGTATAACTTTTTTTGTACTAAGTGCTCAGTCGAGTAAATTTTTTTAGTATAACTTTTTTTGTACTAAGTGCTCAGTCGAGTAAATTTTTTTAGTATAACTTTTTTTGTACTAAGTGCTCAGTCGAGTAAATTTTTTTAGTATAACTTTTTTTGTACTAAGTGCTCAGTCGAGTAAATTTTTTTAGTATAACTTTTTTTGTACTAAGTGCTCAGTCGAGTAAATTTTTTTAGTATAACTTTTTTTGTACTAAGTGCTCAGTCGAGTAAATTTTTTTAGTATAACTTTTTTTGTACTAAGTGCTCAGTCGAGTAAATTTTTTTAGTATAACTTTTTTTGTACTAAGTGCTCAGTCGAGTAAATTTTTTTAGTATAACTTTTTTTGTACTAAGTGCTCAGTCGAGTAAATTTTTTTAGTATAACTTTTTTTGTACTAAGTGCTCAGTCGAGTAAATTTTTTTAGTATAACTTTTTTTGTACTAAGTGCTCAGTCGAGTAAATTTTTTTAGTATAACTTTTTTTGTACTAAGTGCTCAGTCGAGTAAATTTTTTTAGTATAACTTTTTTTGTACTAAGTGCTCAGTCGAGTAAATTTTTTTAGTATAACTTTTTTTGTACTAAGTGCTCAGTCGAGTAAATTTTTTTAGTATAACTTTTTTTGTACTAAGTGCTCAGTCGAGTAAATTTTTTTAGTATAACTTTT